CTATTCTGTTACACTAGAGTGGCCAGTTCCTTGTCCCCGGAGGCCCGGAAAGCACCCTCGACCTCTGCCCCCCCATGGAATCACTGCACCCCAGCTTAGAGGTTTCATTCACCTCAGCTCAACACCTCCCTTAGCACCAGGCACACGCCCAAATCAAACTGAAATGGATTTAACAGAGCTTGAGATAAAGGTTAAAAAGAAAAGTCAATAAAAGGATTTGAAACACAAAGTTACAGGTAGAAGATACCATACAGTGCAGCATGCAGCCTATAGTTATTGACAAGCTACTTGCCTTCGAATTAGATACTTTTCACTCAATGACCAGTTCCTACAGCTCTTGTCCAGTCCAGAGTGCCTGGGATCCACTTTTCATAAGAAACTCCAGCTGGCAGAGTGTTTCCTTCACAAGGGATAACGTCTTGTCCCCTCTCTTCTTCCTTCATCCAGTTGCCGACCATTGTCTCTGAGCCCAGAGGCTCCCTTAATGATCAGAGACGTCTCTTGGGGCCCTTTTGTCAGATAGGACTCCCCAGCTGACCCCGGGCTCCATGGCAGCTGCCCCTTTGAAACGCCAGAAGCTGCTTTTTAAAGGGGCAGCTGCTGTGGAGTCTGGGGGCAGCTGTGGAGTCCCCAGCTGACCCCAGGCTCCTAGTGACATGCAGCGTAGCATGGAAACCAGGGTCAGTAGGGAACTCAGAGTCCCCCGCTGACCCCGGGTTCCATGGCTTTGAAATGCACAAGAGCCCATCCTGGTGACGCTTGTACATTTCAAAGCAGGCACCCACGTGTAGCCCGGAGTCAGCAGGACTTCCTGCTGGCTGCAGGCTATACACAGAGTTCCACATTCCTCCTTTGAAATGTACAAGCGCCCCAGCAGGGGCTCATGTACATTTCCAAGGAGGAATGTGGAAGTGTCTGTCGACTAGTCAATTAACCGCATTTTAACATCCTTATCCTGCACCTTGTTCAGACACCAGACCTGGTCCACAGTTGTTGATTATTTTCAGCATTGATTGAGTCATCTCTGAGCCCTGCTCTACACTACAGAATTAGGTCAACACAAGGCAGTTTACGTTGACCTCATTATGTCGGTGTCTACACTACAGCCTTGCTCTCACTGATGTAAGTTCCCTACTACACCAACATAACAACTCATCTCTATGGCCTGCACAACACTACAGCAGAAGGTGGAATTAAGATACGCAACTCCAGTTACATTAATTATGTAGCTGAAGTTGGCGTATCTTAAACCAAATTTCTGCACTGTCCACACCGTGGGAGGCCAACAGGAGCCAGTGCTCCTGTCGGCTTCCCTTACTCCTTGTAAGTAGCAGGAGTACTAGCACCGATGAAGGCACCCTCTGAGTTCGATTTAGCAGGTCTCCACTAGACCTGCTAAATCGAACCTCGGAAGATTGACCATGGCAGCATCGATCTAACCCGTAGTGATGACATGGCCTATGAGAGGGGTAGTTAGAGCGACTCAGTGTCTGCCTACACAATGGGCTACTTGCTGTTGGCTGTCATTCTTGCCAATTTCATGACTCCATGCAGGAGCCAGAGCTGTGAAATTGACAAGAAAGCCCTGGCTGGCAGCTTAGGCTGCTCCCTGGGCTCCCTGCTCTGAGCCAGGCTATCACCTGGGCTTCCTACTCCCCATAAGGATTCCAGGTGCAGCCCAGGCTCCCTGTTCCCCGCAGGGAGCCCAAATGCCCAAACCACGGATCCAGACTCCTCACTCTGCATTTGGAGCCTGGCCCAGGCAGTACCCCAAGCTGGCTCCAACTTCAGATCTCCCCATCAGAAGCCCAAGCGGCTGCACGCAGCCACCCACAGTGCTGCTGTTGAGAGCGTGCAGCATCCACAGAGGGACAGTCTAGACATGAACCACTGCAGTAATGACTGGGGTGACTGGAGGTCACCCTAAGATGGGTCGATTTACATTTTTTGTGTACCTGTGCCCTGCGACTGCACCCCCCAAGTGGCAAGAGTCACTTCTAGCAGTGTCGGGATGGAATATGCTGCATGACCCATGGCCCTACATTTGTTTTCTGCACAAACATCTTGCACAACCCTGAGAATCAGCTAGGGCCTAGCTATTGGCACAGACCAGCCAGGGCGCCCTTCAGCGAAATGCTGAGAAGGTCGTCGGACACAGGGGTAATATGCCTGCTTGGGTATGACGGGGCATGTCTGTGCCATAGCAGGCTTGGCCCTTTACAAAGTACAAAAGAGTCTGAGAAAAAAAAGCTTGACTAAGGAGACCATCGGGGTGAACAGAAGTTAACAAAATGCCCTACTTATAAAAATAGATAAAAGGCCCGGAACTATATCATAGGAGAAAGGAAGGGACAAGATGGCAGGGGTGTCTCCTGAAGAGTGGATCCCCGCTCTGTCGTGAGACAGGCACGGGGCCGGGAACACTTGTAGCCTTTAGAATTCGATTGCATTGTCTGTTTTGCCTTTATCACTAGCCACGTGTCCAATCCTTTTACTGGCTTCTCTTTGACTCGGCCCTAAGCGCTGTCAAATAACCCCCCCCTTGCTCTTACTCTGGACAGAACGCAGCGCTGTGCGCGGGGGGCGTCAGTGCTCATGGGAAGGGATGCTAGTGAACAGGGTGGGAGGGGTTCTGCTTCCATGGAGGCAGCAATTGGTGTGCATTGTGGGTGCCCAGATGTTGAGAGACTGGGTGCTCGTGTCTAATGAAGTGGGGTGCGTGGGAGGGACCTGCACTCTGGGGGTAGCTATCTCCACAGATGTAGCTGCGGGGAGGGGGCCCAGGGGCTGGGGGTGGGGGCTCTGCTCTGCCCCAAGGACTCAGGGCTGGGCTGCACAAATTGGTAGCCTGCTGAGGGAAGGAGTGTGGCTTGCAGAGCCCAGAGAGGGGCACTGTGGTGCCAGCAGCCAGTAGATCTAGGAAAGTTCACCCAGTGGGCACAGAAAAGCTCCCTGGGGCTATAAACAGGCAATAGTCGTCCCCCCCAATCGCTAGGGTAGACCTGAAACTGTCACCTGAATGGAGGCAGCAAGGGGGATAGAGGAGGCTGCTGTGAAGCAGCCTCTGCCAGTGGCTAGCCCTGGCCACCGCAAACAGGGCTGCTGGACTCTGCGCGAGCCAGCCCAAGCAGTCCTGGTCCGGAACGCTGCGGCTCTGCATTTAAATGTAGCAGCTCTTAGTACATTCAAAGCGCAGAGCCACAGTGTGGGTGGCCCCTGGAGCCGCCAGGAACTGGGATTGCTCAGTCCTGGCTGGAGCCTGCTCCTGGAGCCACCCCCGCTGCAGCTCTGTAGAGCGGTCCTGATTGATTCGTTGTGTAGGCCCTACAATTAGTCAGATTACTGCAATTTAACATCCCTGCTCTGGCCAGCTACTAGCCATCAACTGACCACCCAGTCAGCTGTCCAGCTAGACGGCCCCCAAGATGAGATGGGTTTCCCTTTCCTTCTCTCCACCCTGCAGAGGAGGAGTCTAGGTGAATAGGTAAAACATGTACTCTGCAAAGAAAATGCGAAAGCCCGTCTGGCATTCAGAATAGAGAGCATGTGGGTGGCTGGGGGGAAATCCAGCAGGTAATCTGCTGCTTGAAATGGAACTCTAATGATTTCTGGTTGAAAACTTGGGATGCGATTTGAAAGCTGCCTTGTCTGGACAGAACATGGAATAGGGCAGGTCTGCCATCAAGACCTGAATTTCTCTAGCCCTTGTCATCAAGGTGATTGTCCCTAAAAATGTTTTCACAGACGCATCTTATCACTGGCTCAGAGATGGTCTCATGCAAACAGAGAGAACTAGCCTGAGATCCCACAAAGGACTGGGTGGAAATACTTGGATTAAATCTTTTAAAAACGTTACCACTCTTGGTGGAGATACAACTGTCTGCCCATCCCCAGGAGGGTTGTGTACAGAAATCCAGCAAGGTGAACCTGATTGGGCTAAGTGGTCCATCCAGATGCTTCACTCCAAAGATGTGCCAGAATTTCCATCCGCTATGAAGTACTTTATGGAGTTAGGCTTCCCAAGGGAGCCAGAAGAAAATCGTGTCACTCTCACCATGTTTGCCTTGTGACGTCTCACTGCAGCTTAACGAGATATTTTGTGCGGGAGAGGAGCAGGACTTCTCCACCCAGCAGTCCAGCTGTGAGATGAAGGGCTTCCGAACTGGGTGCAGGCTCTTCCAGCCGCCTTGTGAAAGCAGGCCTGGACTTTGAGGCCATGCCTGTGGTTGGCAGGTTGACAGGTTCAGGAAGACGGGGAACCAGAACTTCTCTGGCCATGGTGGTGCTGTTAATAACAGCTTGGTGGTCCTTGCCTGACTATGCACAGCCAGGAGAAGCAGCCGGACCAGTAGGCGTGTGTACATTGAAGTCCTCAACCATGAGATTAGGAAGGTGTCAGGAACAGAAACTCCTCCCTCCCGCCCCAGCAGAAGACCTGATACTTGTATGTTGCAAATGGGGCCACATGAAGATGGCTCCGATTTGGAATGATGTGCTGAAGGACCAAGTATTTGGTTCCTCACTTTGATTTGCTGTTGATCTGCTGGCTGCTCTGCAAATCAAGTGAGTGTAGGGCTGAGAGGCAGAATCGATGCATAATTCACCAGTTCCAAAATCTGCGTCTTAGCATAGGGCAAGATCACACCCCACCCTGTCTGTTGATGTAACACCTCGCAGTTGAGTGGCTCAATATGGAATGTGGGTAATCGTCTATTATCATATTGATACCAATATTACAAACTTGCAATGAATCTTACAAGACATGCCATGTCAGCTATTCGTGGGAAAGTTGTGCTTTGATAAGGATGATGATTCTATGTGTGTGTCACCTTTGTATTGTCGTAAGTGATAAATATGTGAAAAATGTCTGCCCTGCACACCTGTGCTGTGTTTCTAGGTGGCAGCCCCACACAGATGGCCAAACAGACTAATGCTGATGCCAATCTGCTGTACAATGAACCTACTGAGAGAAGCCAGGGCTACACCTGGGAGTCAGCAGGATGTGGAGAGGCAAGCCTGTGGACCGGGAAGTTGAAGAGTTTTTCCCATGTCCACGTGCTGTGAGCCTGTGTTTGGGACAAAGGGTGTACAAGCCACATGGAAAAGGATATAAAAAGGCACTTGAATCTTCTGCATTCTGTCTTCGGGCTACAGTGTTAACCATCTGTTTTGGGATGCTGCTCGTCTTTCTGCAGCCTGTCCTGACCTTGGGCTACCCTAGGCACTGTGCGTCACAGGTTGTACCATCAGTCATTAACTGGACAGGTTGACCTCAGGTAGAGAAAGCATGATTCCACACCCTTCCAATGCTGAAGGATCTCACTCTGGGTATGTCTACACTACCACCCTAGTTCGAACTAGGGTGGCTAATGTAGGCATTCGAAGTTGCAAATGAAACCTGGATTTAAATATCCCAGGCTTCATTTGCATCTTGCCGGGCGCCGCCATTTTAAAATCCCCCTTAATGCGGACTCCGTGCCTGCGGCTACATGCGGCACGGAGTAGGTAGTTCGAATTAGGCTCTCTAATTCGAACTACCAGTACACCTCATTCCTCGTTCCACGAGGAGTAACGGTAGTTCGAATTAGAGAGCCTAATTCGAACTACCTACTCCGTGCCGCATGTAGCCGCAGGCACGGAGTCCGCATTAAGGGGGATTTTAAAATGGCGGCGCCCGGCAAGATGCAAATGAAGCCTGGGATATTTAAATCCAGGTCAAGAATTTGGAGTTCTCCACACTGTGAAACCAGATCCCTGAAGCCACAAAACCCTTCTTCTTACCACTGCTGTAGCTACTGATCTTGAAGTGGTGTCTGCCATATCTAGAGCAACTTTAGGCTGGTCTTGGTGACCATCTGTCCTTCAAGCACCAATGAAGAGATCGCTTTCCTCACTGGAGCCACCTTATCTGCAAACACCGAATTTTTCATTGTTCACCAAATCCAACCTGGCCCCAAGCGCCTGACAACTCGCGATTTTAGAATGGTAAAATTAGCTGGTGAGCACGATTTACAGCCAAATAAATGCAACGCTTGAGGCTCACCTTCCTTCGGTGCGGTCTGATTTTATTGCTGCATCTTCTCATAAGCAGCTGTCACGACTAGCAAGGATGGCACAGCTGTGGGGTAGAGGTGGGAGCAAAGGCAGGAAGAGGCGTGGTGGGTGAGGGTGTTCAGAGTGGAGGTTGAAGAGGTGGAGTGGGGGCAGGGGATGGGGTTGAGTTCCCCCCACATCCCACGACTAAAGGGGAAGTCAATGCCTATGTTTCCTGGAACTGCACCTGGAAACAGATGGGAAGCCAGAGGAAAGGGCCCAGGCATTGCATGCTCACTCACTCAGTGGAAGCTTCTGAGCGTTCCCCCAAGGAAGCTGGAAGCAGAATGGGCTGCGATAGTTCGTCTCCCCAAGAACAAAGGTTACTTCATTTCCTGACAAGTCTGGCCCAGTGACCAAGAGGTGAGCAGCTGCGTGTGGGTTGGCTGGCAGCTGTTCTGCAGACAGGCTATTTCAGATCTGACACGCGCTGTGGCACAGGCACAGTTTTGAAGCAGAAAGGGGAAAACCGGCCTTCGTTGGGCGCTCTCAATGTTACCGATGGGGAGGGCCACGTGGCAGCCCCCGTCTCGTGATAGTTACCAGGCTGCGGGCACCTCTGGCAAGTTTTCATAGATGCCAGGTATGCAATTGGCAGGAAAATCCCCCATGCTGGTCTTACACAGGCATTTGGTCCTCTCCAAAGAGGGCAGGTGTCCCATAGCTTAGCCTGGCCAGTCTCACGGTGTGCTGAGAACAGTGGGATGGGAGAGAGGTACCCACTTTGGGGTGCAGGACAGTGCTCCAGGCTGGGGTTGAGGGGTTCAGCGGGTGGGAAGGGGGATCAAGGGCTGGGGCAGAGGGGCTGTGGCTGGGATTGAGGGAGGCATTTGGTCCTCTCCAAAGAGGGCAGGTGTCCCATAGCTTAGCCTGGCCAGTCTCACGGTGTGCTGAGAACAGTGGGATGGGAGAGAGGTACCCACTTTGGGGTGCAGGACAGTGCTCCAGGCTGGGGTTGAGGGGTTCAGCGGGTGGGAAGGGGGATCAAGGGCTGGGGCAGAGGGGCTGTGGCTGGGATTGAGGGGTTTGGAGGGGAACTCGCCCCCAGGCCTCTGCCTGCCTTCCCCTAGCGCTGCCCAGACCCTGCCCCAAGGGTTCCCAGTTTTGCTTGGACCCACTCCCGGAGAGTTAATCTCAGGACAGAATCTTTAACTAAAGTTCCTGGAGACCCCAGGCCAGTCCTGGCGGGGGGGCAGCTGTTCCTGCCCCCTGTGCCCCATCCTGCACCAGCTGGGCCCGGAGCCCCCTTCCCTGCCCTGTGCTCCCCCACAGCCAGGGCCCGCTCCCTGCGCCCCGGGCGCTGGCCCCCCTCCGAGCCCTGCCGTGGCTCC